AATACTAAATTCATCAAGAAATGATTGAAGCTGATTAAAAACAACTCTCTCCAAAACTTTCCGATAAAAAGGGGGGTTTAGATAGGTCTAAAATTAGACCAAATTCAAGGATCCAAGTTATTCTTTTTTAGAAGCGGTTGTAAAGGACTGACAATTTGTTAAACCGAATATATGAAGTCTGCGTTGACCCTTTTGTACGGAGCAGCTAAATGACTTTTATTTTGAAATGAACAACACACAAATCGGACTGTATAAAGCGCGACCCATTTGTGTGTGCACGCTTTGTGAAGGACGCAGCCTGCAGTTTGTGGCGTTTTTCTCATCCTCTTATTGTACTTGTGCATCTCACTGAAAAGGGTAATAAGGTAAATGATTTTGTACATTGTATGATGCGTAATGCAATGTCAGGTTTCGTATTTGGTTTATGTATTGTTTGTTTCTGTTTTGTTTTGTGTGTTCGTAGATCTTATGGTGTCTACTTGAATGTCAACGTATTAAACATTTTCGGAAACATCAGTTAAGGAGCATTGACCATCATTTCAGTGGGGTAGCAACAGCGGTTGCACGATGGCATGTTTAAAAACAGCTGGAACACATCCTGAGCTGAGAGATGTATTAACCAAAGATACAACGCTTGGCCCAACAGTGTCAAAGTCATCTTTAACTAAGCGTGCAGGAATACTGTCTAGGAGGCAGTTTGCAGGACGTAGCTGTTCAACTATGTCAGAAAGATAGGAGAATGTAACAGGCTCAAACTGCTGAAAGACAGCTGGGCAAAAAGAGAAATCAAGAGAGTCACTGATAACCGTGATGGGTGGAAAACTAAGACCAGCAATTTTGTCCACAAAATATTTCAGAACGTTTTCACATAATATTAAAGATGGCACAATGCAATCTGAATCACGTGGGTTAACAAGAGAGTTAAAAACATTAAAAATAACCTGAGGCCGCTGGCTGTTACTGGCTACAAGGTCGGAAAAAAGCACAGGTAGAAATCTCCAAATTGGGAACAACCACAGTAAATAAAACAGGCAGGTGATCTGAAATACGTCACATATTTCACTGATAGTAATACATAAACCATACGACAACACAAGGTCCAAAGTATGTCCTTTTTCATGGGTCGGACCAGTGACTGACTGCGTGAGATTAAACGAATCAATTAGACTGAGAAAATCAGAGGTTTGGATTCACAGCACACATGTATGTTAAAGTCACCAATAATTAAAAAGCGATCATATTTCAATGCAATCCCTGCCACAAAGTCTGCAAAGTCCTGAATAAAATTCTTATTATACTTTGAAGGTCGATATACCACCGCGATATACCATCGCGGGAAAATTTGTCTCATAAAGCTGCAATTCAAAACTGTTGCAGGCGTCGACCGCGACCTCCCGACAGTGAAAAACTGGTTTAAATACAGAAGCCAGCCCTCCACCTTTACCGGTGGTCCGAGGGGAGCTTAGAAAGTCACAGCGGGGAGGAAGTAGTTCAGAGAAAGAAGCCAACTCACCAGCATGAAGCCAGGTTTCTTTCAAAAACATGAAATCCAACTTACGTGAAGTGAAAAAATCTTCATCAAAAAAGTCTTGTTAGCTAGCGATCTAGCATTAATCAGAGCCAAACAAAGAGTGGAATCCTCACTGGCCGATGGCGCCACACGGTTCAGCGGGCGAAGGTTAGAAGAATCCACACCACCTCTGCGGACCCGAACCCGCATAGGAAGAGATGGCACAGTCGACAGGTCGGCCTCGGAAGTCACCGTCGAGCTGGGGAAGACCGGACGGAGCCACCGGCCTCTCATTTCCAGAGAACGCCGGGCAGCTGGAACGTAACATCCATCGTGAGGACACATTACACATGTGGACACCAGGTAAGCCTTGAATCTAACCAGGACACCTCTGCGCTTCCCCCGTCGTCTCCAATGCTTCTTGCGAGGAATAATGCATGGTGATCGGTGTAAAAACGCCGGTATATCTGCCAGGAAGGGTGGAAGGCCCGTAGTTTGATGGTTTCCAAACACACATCTTCCAGACAGTGTATCTTTAGAAGCTCTAATATTATAAAGTGTTTGGCGATCATAGACGAGCAAGGCAGAGACATCTCGACAGCATATACAAATAAATAAAGCGATCGCAAACAACAAACTGAGCAGACAACACGGAGACAGACGGCATGCCATGGACACTAGCGCCATCTTTTTTTGGGAATAATATGTGCAAAGATAGAGCTTTGGAGGTGTTCCATGACATTGAGAGAGGATGGCTTTGATTCCTGTGTTTGAGGGTCTGGATGGCATTCTTCCATCAACTTAATGTGAACGTCAGCCTCACCTCAGGGTATCACCCACAGTACAGTGGCCAAACTGAATGCCTTAACCAAGAGCTCACACATTTCCTCAGGATGTACTGCCATCTGAATCAGACAGATTGGAGCAGGTATCTAGTCTGGGCTGAATATGCTCAATTCTCTCCAAAAACCTTCCACTGGCCTGTACCCCTTTTCAGTGTTCTGGGATTTCAACCCACTGTATTAAATTGGTCGGCTTTGTCAGAGTGAAGCAGTTTGGGACCAGGCTCATGTCTTTCTCCAACAGGCAGTGAGGAGACTAAAGGTACAAGCTGGCCAGCACCAATGTCCCAGCCCCAAATGTGTGCCAGCCCAATGGGTTTGGTTTTCCACTTGGGATCTTTACCTTTATCTACCCTGCTATAAACTCAGTCCCAGGTATGTGAGTCTGTAACAACATTCATAGATCGGGAAGGAGGCGAGAACCGTTGAACATTTAAAAACAAAACTTTAATAAACAAATGAATAAACACAAAACTAAAGTAAAATCGACAGCCCCTCACGGACGACTGCCGCATAAAACATAACACGGCAACATAAATAGTCCAGGCCTGGTCCTCTCTCGTCTTTCACTGTCGTCACTCCCCTTTTTATCCTTCTGGAGCTCCTCCGTGGGACTCGTCGCTCATTATCATTTACTCCACCGGCCTCACTCCGCTCCCATGGCTCTCGGCCCCACCCTACTCGTCACATACCCCCATCGCCCCTCGCAGGCTGGGGGTACTCACGAGACTGCACTCTACGATCCTGAGGAGGATATTGAATAGGAGGGTGACGCAGGCAGCTGTAAGAAGGCAGGTGCTGCTCTCTGAAGAAGAAAAAATATTTAATATTGCGTATTATATTGCTAAAGAAGAGACAGCTTTTGTGAAGTTTGGTCCACTTATTACCCTACATAAGAAAAACGGAGTGGACATAAATCCAACATATGACAACGATAAAAGGTGTGCGGAAATGATTGGACAAATTGCAGACCAAGTTAACTTTATGAATTTAGAACCAAGAACTACTTCATTACAGATGTTCAGTCAGATCATACAGTTCATACAGTTTAAATTAAAAAAATATTAAATACTGTTTAAATAGACAGCTGGTGAAATGATTAAGAGAACCTAGAGTACTTATTGTTTTCAAATAAATGAAATCACTTTGCTTTTAAAGGTCTCCTCGTATCCCTTTATTAGGTAAAAACACATTATTTAATACATTTTCATTGCGCCCCTAAAATTCTTTAATGTGCTCCTAAATTTTTCAACTTAGGAGCACATGTGCTCCTTCTGAAAAAAGTAAGCGTCAAGCCCTGCTCTCTGACAGCGTGTCCCTCTTTCCTCCCGGGTTTCAGCACCAATGTAACAACGTTTATAGATCGGGAAGAATGAGGCGGGAACCAGTGAACATTTAAACACAAAACTTTAATAAATGAATGAACACAAAATGAAAGTAAAAGTGGCAGCCCCTCACAGATGACTGCCGCATAAAAAACATAACACGGCAACATAAATAGTCCAGGCCTGGTCCTCTCTCCCGTTTCCCGTTCTCCAGTCGCTCTTTACCCGGTCTCCACGCCAATTACTGCAATCAGACACAGGTGTTCAACATTTTGCACTTGACCTACTTACTCACCGCTCGTCTCCTGACTCTCCCTCCCACTGCAGACCTCGCTGAACCACGCCCCCTTCACCACAGAGTCCCTTCAAAATTCTGAGACAAATCACCCCTGTATCTCATCACCTACAGCTACTTTCGTATTTCTCCTTCTTGTGGATGGCTTATCGAGTAGGATAACTCCTGCACTCCAGACGTCGAGATGCCTACTTTAGTATCTTGTGGACTGGGAGGGGTATGGTCTGGAAGAACGGTCCCGGATCAATACAGAGGACATCCTCGACCCCACACTCATCACTGAATTGTTGCTGTGTTTTGACACTTGGATTGTTTTTCTTGTTCACAACTCTTTGACACCTGCCTTGTTTGCATGGATATTTACGTGGTACATTTACATGGTTGTTTTCTGCATTGCTAACACACCTGTTTTTAATTACCTGGACTATTTAGGCACAGAACTCACTAGACTCAGTTTGAAATCTTGTTTTGCCCTGGCTGATAATTTTTAAGCATTTTTGACCATTGATTGTTTTTCTTGTTTACAACTGTTTGGCGCCTGCTTTGCTGACTTTGCTTTGCATGGATATTTACCCTGGTTGTTTGCTGCATTTCTCGAACCTGTGCCTGTCTATGACTATGATTATTGTCCTGCCTATCTTACTGATCCTTGCCTGTCTGTTTGTTCTTTTTGTTCTGGCTAATAAAGCTAAATGAATCTCAGTCCTTTGTTCCTCTGAGTCTGCATTACAATATTAGATGAAAAACGAGTCAGGAAAGATGGAAAAAAAAATCACATTTTGCCAACTGATTGAGAATAAGGTTGTTGAAATAGTCAAATTAGTAAAATTGAAAATAAAAAATAAAGCCAAAAAGAAATATATATATATAAAAAAAAAAAAATGACAAAGGCGCAAAAAAACTGTAATGAAAATAAAAGTAAACGCTACTTCAAATTATTATGCATACTATAATAGTATGTAGTATAAATGCTGAAATAACAATTGCAATTCAGCCATTAAATCTGTGTTTCCACTGTGTTTTCTCAGAGTTTACAGGAGGAGATGAGCCAAAACGGCAAGGCGATGTTGAACATCAACCAGTGTTTGCAGCAGATCTTTGGGGAGGCCATCAGTACCGCCTACCCTGGCCTAGAGAACGCTCCACTTATGGTCACCCTTAACCAGCAGGCCAAATTTGGTGATTACCAGTGTAATAGTGCCATGCCAATGGCTCAGGTCAGTTTCATTTTCCGGTAAACTCTTCTGTTTCTCCTTTTTTTGTCACTCCAACGCGCTTGACTTTCTTTCTTCTGTTGAACACAGAAGGAAATGCTTTGAAGAATGTTGCCTTTTGTCCACTTAAAGTGAATTCTTTTTGTGAATGTGTTTGTTTTAAGATGATGAAAGCTAAAGGACAGAAGGTCAGCCCCAGGGAGATAGCAGAGAAAATTGTCCAAAACATTCCCAACAATGAGTTAATTGAGAGAACAGAAATTGCAGGGCCAGGTTTGTTCAGAATATCATAAATACCAAGACCATTTTCTCCCCTACTTTCAAAGATTGATAAATAATCAAGTGCATATTGGATTGTAGGGTTTATCAACGTTCATCTCAAAAGAATGTTTGTCTCTAAACTCCTCTCAAACCTGCTTGTGAATGGAGTGCAGCCTCCATCTTTGAAGAAGAAAAAGAAGGTAGGAGTTTCACTGTAGCGGTGAAATGCATCACAGCTTAGTGGTATAAACTACAATGCATTTTTATCCAGTGGTCTTTAAGCTCATTTGTGTTTTTTTAGGTTGTTGTGGACTTCTCCTCACCTAACATTGCCAAAGAGATGCATGTGGGTCACCTGCGGTCCACGATTATTGGAGACAGCATGTGTCGACTCTTTGAGTTCCTGGGTAATGAAGTGCTAAGGTTGGTGTATATTATTTGTGGAGCGCAACAGTGGGGTTTCAGAAATAAAAAGCCAATTTTAATCTCTGTTGTGAGATATATTTTATGAAAACATGAACTCAGTGTTGTTAAAGCAATACTGTAGACCAGGGATCTCCAGTTCTGCTCCTGGAGAGCTACCGTCCTGCAGACTTCAGTTCCAACCTTGCTCCAACACACCTGTCTGTATTATCAAGTAGCCCTGAACACTTTGATTAGCTGGTTCAGGTTTGTTTGATTGGGGTTGGGGCTGAAATCTGCAGGACGATAGCTCTCCAGGAGTAGGGTTGGAGACCCCTGCTGTAGACTTTAACTCTTTCCCTGCCATTGACGTAATTTTCCGTCATTTGTAAGACAACACTTCCCAGTAATTGTTTTCACTGGTGTAGGAGGTGCTATTACGCATCTTCTGGATCAAAACATGGTGAAGAAGCAGAAACAAGCGATTGCATACATAAGTAAATGCATATGTAAAATAACGCAATCATCAAACATTAATCATTATATAAATCAAAACTGCTTAATGTTAGTCAAGTCAAGTCACCTTTATTTGTATAGTGCTTTATACAATACTGGTTGTGTCAAAGCAGCTTTACAGTGTCATACAGGTAAATAGTTTGTCAATAATGCAAGAAGACAATAACAAAGAGTAATTTGTAATTTGCACAGTAAGAGACTGTGTGGGGAAGTCGTGGCCTAATGGTTAGAGAGTCAGACTCGTAACCCAAAGGTTGTGGGTTCGAGTCTCGTACCGGCAGGGATTGTCGGTGGGGGGAGTGAATGTACAGCGCTCTCTCCCACCTTCAATACCACGACTGAGATGCCCTTGAGCAAGGCACCGAACCCCCAACTGCTCCCCGGGCGCCGCAGCATAAATGGCTGCCCACTGCTCCGGGTGTGTGTGTGCACTTTGGATGGGTTAAATGCAGAGCACTAATTCCTAGTATGGGTAACCATACTTGGCCACATGTCACGTCACTTTCTTTTCTTTTTTCACTTAATTTTTCCAGCTAAAGTCATTTCATTGATGATTCAGTGATGTCATCATTAGGGATGGGTATCGTTTACATTTTATCGATACCGATATGATACCGATGCTGCTTATCGATACTGTTATCGATGCTATTTAGTGCAAAAAGATATGATGTGAAAAGTTGTTGAAAATTTCAAGTTATTTTATTACTGCTGAATTTTAGCAACTGTATTAAAGTTCTTCAGTCAAGAGCAGCGAGTTATTTTTCTCTTTGTGTTTTATTTTATTAACATTAAAGGAATAGTTCATCCAATAATGAAAATTGTCATAATTTACTCACTCTCAAGCTGTTTTAAACCTGAATGAGTTTCTTTCTTCTGTTGAACATAAAAATGTGGGAAACAAACAGTTGCTGGCCCCCAGTGACTTTCATATTTCTTTTTCCTAATATAGTCAGTGGGGACCAGCAATTGTTTGGTTACCCATATTCTTCAAAATATATTTTGTCTTCAGCATAAGAAAGAAATTAATACAGGTTTGGTACAACATGACAGTGAGTAAATAATGACAGAATTGTAATTTTTGGGTGAACTATCCCTTTAATGACAATCGGCAACATGTTTAGTACTGTTGCTTTTTATTAATTCATTTATTTTTGCTTTATTTTTCAAGTACAGTATGTGTATTAAGCAGTAGACAAATATAACAAATATAAAAATAAAACACTATATACACTTCACTGTATAAATTATACATTGACTCCTATTAAAGCAACTGTATTGAAGTTCTTCAGTCAAGATCAGCGAGTGATTTTTCTCTTTGTGTTTTGATGTTTTATCAACGTTAAAAGGGATCGTTTACCCAAAAATTTAAATTATCATAATTTACTCACTCTCAAGCTGTTTTAAACCTGAATGAGTTTCTTTCTTCTGTTGAACATAAAAATGTGGGAAACAAACAGTTGCTGGCCCCCAGTGACTTTCATATTTCTTTTTCCTAATATAGTCAGTGGGGACCAGCAATTGTTTGGTTACCCATATTCTTCAAAATATATTTTGTCTTCAGCATAAGAAAGAAATTAATACAGGTTTGGTACAACATGACAGTGAGTAAATAATGACAGAATTGTAATTTTTGGGTGAACTATCCCTTTAATGACAATCGGCAACATGTTTAGTACTGTTGCTTTAAGAGCTGCACACATCTGTTTTTCTCTCAACTGTTTACTTTCACTTTAGACATAAGTTAACTAAACTGTGTGTATATGTAAACCTTGTGTGTTTTTTAGAGTATTAGCGCAATCAGTCACTAACTAAGACAACCAAGTAATCAGGTGCTGTTTGACCGGCCTTTTAGTGTACGCACGCTTCAGGTGTACGTGCTCTGAATAAGCGCTCGTCAGAACAGCACGCAAATGAAACGTTTAACCGGCAAGGTTTTGAAGCACACGCAAATAATGTACTTTTGTAATTGCGAATAAGTGCAGTGTCACGTGAGTGTAACTCTACCGCTGAATTAACATTTGATGTGATTGTGTTGGGCGAGTTGCAGTTGGAGCTGGAGCCGGAGCCGGGAGACATAGTAAATACAGCGCATTGCTTGAGGTAGATGTTGTGTTTTGTAAGTAAATGTTTCATTGTATTACTAGTGTTGCCTCCTTTGTTCACTATTACACTACTGCATATATTGCATCTGACACTGGTGCCGCTTAGTTTTGTAACGTGAACCCACACTTTCGAAGGTTTCACCGCCACTGATTGCACGCAAACACACACAGCACATGTGCATGGATATCACACACACGTCGAGCAAACGTTGGCCATTCAGTGAAGAAAAATGACAAGCAGCAGCTTCTAATTTGATAACAGTATTGTTTGTCCTGAAACTTATCGGTAGTCCGGTAAAACCTTGGGAGAAACCAGGCTCAGTCAGGGGGACAGTTCTCCTCTGGCCAGACATACCAGCATGGCGTGGTTTAATTCCAGGCAGCAACACAGGTGCAGAGGACTTGTCTGGTTCCCGTGGTCTTGTGACGATGGTCGTCGAGGTGATGATGTCTTCGCAGGGGATCTGTCTCTGGGGCGCATCTAGTTGACATGGTCTCCGCTGACATTCAGGGCTGTGACAGATCCACCATCTGACCTGGATATGGACTGGATCTGGGTGGCTACAGTGACCATCTGATCTGGATACAGACTGAATCCGTATGGCTACGGTGACCTCAGAATAAGAATGAAAGAGACGAATATTAGCGTAGATGGCATTCTTCTTACGATGTAGCGAGTACATTGGGTGTTATGGGAAGTGTTCCCGGTTCCGGTTGACCTAATTATGCAGCCTAACAATCCTTAACGGATTTGAATGATAGAAATGTGGTAGTGTATTGTGTATGCCAGGTTAAAGAGATGGGTCTTTAATCTAGATTTAAACTGACAGACTGTGTCTGCCTCTCGAACAACGTTAGGTAGGTTGATCTGCCGCCCGCAGTTGATATTGATATTCTAGGTATTATCAAATGGCCAGAGTTTTGAGATCGCAGCGGACGTGAAGGACAATAATGTGATATGAGCTCACTCAAGTACTGAGGAGATAAACCGTTCAGGACTTTATAAGTAATTAGCAAGATTTTAAAATGTTGATCCTGCTGGCCAAATGGGTGCCCTAAGAAGAATTGTATTGTTGTGCCCCCTCCGTCAAATATTATGGAAGTAAAAAAAAAAAAACACCTACTATAGGGGTCAAAATAAAACTTTAATAAAATATTGTATTTAAATTATATTATTTACAAATTACAAGTGTAGTTCTAGACCGTTACCTATGGCTATGATTTTATTAATATAGTTGTCTGATTGATTTTATAGTCTCAAGCATTCAAAAATCACGCAAAAGAAAATTAAGCCGTTTTACTACAATAAAACCATGGTTAATTTTTGTAAGGGTTGTGATGTCCACATGTTTTTGTTGAAGTAATTATAGAGGCTGTAGCATTTCTATTTCAAAAATGTGGCCAAAAATGAAAGATTAAGTGAATATTTGAATTAGCCTAAATGTTTGGTCAATATTAAACCAGGATTTGATCATCCTGTAAGTGTAACAGTAGCAATTACCAGACCTTTGGCTCCCTTTGCAAGCATTTGTAATGTACATAAATCGTTTATTTTGTATTACATTATGTATTTTAACATTGTTTCATTATTTTAACATTGACATGTATCATTATTGCCTCATTGTTTTTATATAATGCATTTTAAGTACTTTTAAAGGCTGTTGTTGGTTTAGGTCTGTTTTTATAACCACAAAACAAAAAAAATCCTAATACTTCTTTGTAAACTATTATTTGAAGTAATAAAACCATGGTTAATTTGTGGTTAACAAGAACCATGATTTTTGGTTTTGTTCATAGTAAAACCAAGGCTAATTTTCGTAAGGGAACATGGAATCTCAGAAAGAATATTAGATGCGTTGTTGGTGGTTAAATTATTACCGACATTAAAATACGTTATTAATGTCAACAGCCAAAAAAGTTTCACAGGATTATGAATGTACCTGAAAGTGATGCACGGGTTTCTCATCATCTTTTTTTTTTTTTCCTTGGCGCCAGATTGCTGATGTCTTTTCACGGGTAGTTGTCCATCAATTATGATCATTTGCATTCAGCCGCAAACATGAGGTGTGAGCGGTCGCGGATGCGGGAATAACGCGTCGTGTGCTTAGCCTACAGCCTACTGCGTTCACCGTAAAATGAAATTTTTTATAATGATATATATATATATATGTGTGTGTGTGTGTGTATGTTCATGTTTATATTTTTATTTATGTGTATATGTTAATTTTAATATTAATATAGAACGAAAGGTTTTTTTTGAGCAACTGGGTTGGTGCCCCCCTAGGAGATGTTGCCCTACGCAAACTGCGTACTCTGCGTATAGGGAGCGGCGGTACTGCTTGGAAGTAAAGAAGTTCATAAAGTCGTGCTGTTGTGCTGTTGGGAAATGTGTAAGTCTGTTGA